CCAAGCAACCCCCCCGCCGCAGCAAGTGGCTGCTGCGGCGCGGCTTCAGCACAATTTCTGTGTCCGATGCATGCTGCGGAGACTCGCGAGCAGCAGCAGCAGCAGCAGCAACAAACCGCCGGGCTGTCTGCGGAGACCTTATTGTGGGAGCAGCAGGCCGAGGCCCCAGGACTGCCTCTGCAGCAGACACACACACACTTTCTGCTGCACTCAAATATAAATAATATTATATATAATATATATATTATATGTATAGTATATAAGTGCCATATAGATATACATAGAATATATATAGTATATATACTATATATATATATATATCCGTACTTTTACGTAAATATAAACACAAGTACGTATCTACATATACCAATATATATATAAAACATATATAACTATGAATTGGTATAAAAGCAGATATAAATACATATATGTATATAAGATATATATATAAACATTATATATAAAGTTTGTAATACATATATATAAGAATTACATATATGTATATAATATATATATAAGCACTATATATATAGATTATTTATAAAATTATATAAATATATAGTGTAAATATATATTATTGCTGCAGCAGCTGCTTAAAGCCAAGCAAAAGCAAAAAGACAGCTGCATGCAAATGCATGGAAGTAATGGGAAAAGAGCCATTGAGCACCAGGTGTACATACACCCGAGCAGCTGTGCAAGTGCAGCTGGGAGAAAAGCAGCAGCAAATGGATCATTTAAAAAGAAATTGGAAATTTGAATAATAAGCAAGACAAAAATCCTTTTTGCTGAATCCCTGCAGCACTACTTCAGCCCGAGTTTGCTGCTGCTGCTGCTGCAGCAAAATGGACCATTTGAAACGCAAAAAGCCCCGAAAAGCAGCAGCTGCTGCTGCTTCCATGTGCTGCTGCTGCTGCAGGCCTCACCTTCTGCTGCTCGCAAGCTGCTGCGGCAAGACTGCAGCAGCCGGCGACGGGGGCCCCCAAACAGATGGGGGGCCCTCCTCAAGTGGGGGGCCCCCAGGGGCGGCGGAGAACTTCCTCCCACTTCTACTAGCTGCTGCTGCACTGGCAGGCCCAGCACGGGGGCCAAAGACTGCGCACACACCGCAGCAGCACACCTGCTGCTGCTGCTGCTGCTGCTGTGCTGCTGCTGCGCACAGCGTGCGGCAGCTGAGTCGCAGGCGTGCAGCTGCTGCTGCCCGCTGCTGCTGCCTGTGCCTGCCGCGCAGCAGCAGCCCTGCAGAAGCTTGCCCGCAATGCTGCTTTCAGCAGCAGCAGCAGCAGCAGCCAACTCGGGCGCTGCAGGATGGGTGTCTCTGATTTGCTGCACCTGCGCAGCGCCGATGTCGTGCTGCTGTTCGTGCTGCTGTGCTGCTGCAGCACAAGCAAGACTAAGTAATCTTTAATCGAATTGAACACAATCTGCTGCTGCTGCCATTGCCTTCGTGCTGCGGGCTGCTGCTGTCTGCAGCAAACTCACCAGCTCAACATCCCGCAGGCTGCCCCCCTCGGACGCCCTTCTGTTCAGCTGCAGCGAAGCAGCAGCAGCAGCAGCAGCCGCTGCAGCCGCAGCAG